CCAAAAATATATATATATATATATATATACACATTGTGGTTTTGTTTTTATGTGCTAAAATTATTTTATTTTGTTGTTTTGTATGTATAATTTTTATTGCTTTGTTATACATGCAATATTGAGTTAAATAATTTAGTACATTAAAAACTTAATATTTGTGCTCATATTGCTTATGATTTTGTGCAATGTATATGAGCATATTTTGTGAATTAAATTAAATGTTGTGTGATTCATATAATTTTAATTAATTAAGGAGTAGCCACATCATCTTTAATTATGCAAAATTATATATTAATTGTATAGGATCACATTTTGTATAAAGACATTAATTGTGGTTGGTCATATTTAATATAATAAGGCCCTGTTTGAGCCAAATTACTATAAAATGAGAATGAAAAATATGGCCATTTTTGGAGCCTACACAAGAGATAAAAAATTTGAATTTAAATATTGATGTGATGGATAATGGTCATATTTTTCATTTTAATGAGATAATAATGTAAACCAAACGGGGGATAAATTTTATCCCACAGGAATTTTTATTATATTTATATGATCAATTGGGATAAAATATTAAATTATTTTCCTAATTATCCACTGGAATTAGGAATTGGAACATGATTTGTTAGTTTTATCATAAGGTTTATACATGAATCTAATTGAGTAGGACTTTGGCCCATAGGCAAGTTTTGTGTCACTGGATTCATAATTTTGAAGCATGACTTTACATTGGTAAATCATGATTTATATTTGTTAGTCTCAATTTGAATTGTAAGCATATATATTTAATTTAGCAGCTTCGCAACCTGCTAATTTCTCTCATGTTCGTTGCGATATTCCCGAATTAAAAGGTGATAATTATAAAGTATGGAATGAGGGAATTCTTCTTCATTTAGGATGGATGTATATTGATTATGCCATTAGGAAAGACGAAACTAGAAATTACTCCGACCAGCACTCCTGATGAAATTGTTCTTTATGAATGATGGGAGAGATCCAATCGCCTCAGTATGATCATAAAGACTAAGATTTCTGCTGGTATTCGTGATTCGGTCGAAGAGTATAAAAATGTCAAGGCATTACTGAAGGCTATTGATGAGCAGTTTGAGACTTCAGATAAAGCACTTGCCAGCACCCTGATTATGAAGTTTTCATCCATAAGGATCGCTACTTTAAGAGGTGTGCATGAGCACATCATGCAAATGAGGGACATTGTGGCTCAATTGAAGACTCTTGAGGTTGATATGTCTAAGTCTTTCCTTATGCACTATGTTTTGAACACTCTTCCACATCAATATGGACAGTTCAAGATATCTTATAATGCGCATAAGGATAAATGGTCAATTAATGAACTTCTAACCACATGTGTTCAAGAAGAAGGGAGACTAGTAAAGGAAAGGACTTAAATCAAGCCAAAAAGAAAGGGAAATGTAAAATACCGTCCCAAAGTGGAATTAAAAAAATAATAAAAAATAAAGAATCCAAGTGTTTCTTCTGCAAAAAGAAGGGACACATGAAGAATGATTGTACCAAATTCCAAAATGGCTTAGAAAAAAGTTAAATCAATATCATTGTCTGTTATGAATCTAATATTGTTGATGTTATTTATAACACATGGTTGATTGATTCTGGTTCTACAATCCATATTTCAAATACTTTGCAGAATATGCGAAACCTAAGGAAGCCAGTGGAAAGTGAGCAATGCATTTATTCAGGAAACAAGATGCGCTCACATGTGGAGGCTATTGGAACATACAATTTAGTTTTAAGCAGTAGTTTTATTTTGAATTTAGAAAAGACATTTTATATTCCAAGTTTTTCTAGGAACTTGATTTCAGTTTCAAGACTTGTACCTTTGGGAATTGTACATTGTCTGATGGTCTCTTTTCTATTAATTTGCAAAATAATACTACTTATAATGCTATGCATGTTCACAGTGGTATGGAACGATGTGGTATGAATAAAGATTCCTCTATGTTATGGCACCGGAGATTGAGACACATCTCCATTGAAAGAA